TGAGCTTTAAAAGAACAGTTACTGTTCTTTTAAAGCTCACTTGCAGTGCAGTAAAGACAGCTTTACTGTTCTTTTAAAAAAATATGAACATTGTTTACTTACTTGTTTGTTGACAGCCTTTGGAAGGCTTTCCTGCAGATCCTGAAGGTTCTGCATCCCAGATGCATAAATGGGAAGAGCAACAGAAGCTGGTGTTTTCAAATGAAGAACCTTCACATTTTTCCATTGCTGCCGCCAGAAAAGAAAACATTGTTGGGACAACTTTATGAGAAATTTTACAACATTTTAACAGATCCTACTATTGAGAAGATAGATAAAATCAGTTATTTTCCCTCAACAAACACAGCAAAATGTATTTCCCTTATTTGGTTGGTCAGTTTAGCAAATTCACAAACGCAACAATTTGTAATCACATTTGTGAATGTGTTAAAGAAAAATAATAGGATGGGAAATAATATCAAAAGCTGGAGTACTAATGGTAAATGTGGAGTTCTCGCAAAGCAAATGATACATGGTGAAAACGTGTTTAAAAAATCATGGGACCTGGGTTTGAAATAAAATTCAAAACACTCAAGGATTTGAGTTATCAATATGAAAAAGTTAATCATCCTCAGCTGTTTTCACTACCATCATAACCCCCTTTCTGATGGTAACCCTTAATTTGCCTGAAATCCTTGTCCATTTAACTCTAGTTCTTACTGATAATAAAATTGTTAAAAACTGAAACTTCAATTTAAATAAGTATAAAAAATTCCAAACACCTGGGACCAGATGGGGGAATGAGAAGGTCTGCATTTTGCACATTTGGAATATAACAAATCCGTGACAAATATTAGATCAAGTCCCTGCATCCTTGCTTTTTAAAAATTTCTTCAAGGGGTCTTGGATGTGAAAGTCTCTGGCAATGACTAGTTATACTCAAGATTAACCAAACATTTCTACACATTATTAGGCATAAATATATTAATGTCATATCAGTTCTATTTTTTGTACAACTTTACAATTTTAGTTACCAAAGGGATCGCTAGTGTAGGAAATAACAAATTTCACACTGTTGCAAAACAACTTGACCTACTAAGATAAGACATTAGATTGTTTGGTGCTGTCAAGTAGAAGCATTATTTTACATCTAGCTGTGCTATATCCAAGTGGATTTGCAAAATACAGACACAGTCATTAGCATGGAAAATGAGCACCAGCAGCTTGTGGGAACAAATGTCACCTAACACTAAAATACAAAGTTGCATTTTTAAGAATATTACTGACTTCAGTTTCTCACTTTTCTCCCCTATACACCACACAGTAAATTGAAAAGGAAAACAGCACATCAAACATTGCTGAATTGAAATATTTGCGATTATCTCGGTACTTTGTGCAAGTTTGCATTTGCAAGATATTCCTTAAATCCAAAGTGAAACTAAGATAATTTGGGAAAGAGGGATAATTGGAACTCCCAGCTACAAGATCATTAAACTCACGAGAAATCAGCATGACTTGAGGTCGCTGGAAAGAAAGGGCTCAGATAATAGGAAAAGCCATCAACAGGGATGTGACTTAATATTTAGACAGATGTAAGCTTGCTAACCTGAAAGGACAAAGAACAGATAATGGGGCTACTTAATTACAGCTTGTGATATGGTTTGTTTCTGCAGCAAAGGTAGAATAGAGAAGGTACATTTACATGTGTATGTGTCACACAGTTGAAAAGATTGAAAGCTGAAGATAGGTTTTGAACAAAGATTGTGGTTTAATAATTTTACAGTTGCTTCTCCAGTTTTGCCAGAGCTTTACTGTGTAACAGTCTTGATTAGAGGGGTCGAATAAGAGTGTCTTTGGGGAAATTTCTACGATCAAGTTACAACAGTTCATCAACAGTCTGCTATTTCGGTGTTAGCAATAACTGGGACTTCTGTGAGATAAAGGCAGCTGATGAAAGAACTCAAAAGCCAAATCGATTGAGTGGAAAAAGTGAGAGATTCTACACATTGGTGGCATTGTAAGTGGTGCCACATTCGTATGGGAAGTGATACGTGCTTGTAATTTCCGGCGACTGCTTCTTATATTGATCTTAAGAGAAGTCCATCTTTGTGTGAAGTACCATTTGTCTCTTAATATATGTTTAATTTTATGTTGACTTTGGGTTTGATTGTTACAGTAACAGTTTTAAAAAGTAAAATCCTGTCCCTCAGTTCCTTTACTCTGAGGCATTTTGGGATTCATTTCTTCTCAGCGTTATGGTCACTATGGATCTCATTTATTTTAGCACTTTACAGATTCCACTACTGAATTGGAAACTCTTGTTTAAAATACCAATTTTCTGTCATTTGCAACAACCCACATAGTCTACACTAAAGAGAATAAAACAAAAATTGCTAATTACTGCAAGAGGGGAGAGTTGGGGGAAGGAAAAAGCAAAGAAAAGATGGCAACTGCAGTAATAAGTTAAAATCATCCTAGGTGTGATGTACATACAATTCAAAGGATAGTTACACTCATACACATACGTGATCATCTCTATTCCCAACAAGGCTACAATTTTCTACATACCATGGGCAACTTCTGTGCAATAACATGAACTGCTGCAGTAACATTTTCCACTGCTTCCTGGGACTTCATTCCAGTATGAGCTACACGGGAGGCACTAAGAAAAAACAGAAAATATACCAGGAAATTACCTTTTACACAAAGGATAGCAAACCATGAAATCTCTTAAACTCCATATTCCCTAAAGTTACTTCACAGTGAGCAATTAGTATTTCTGAAATTATCATCTGGTAATTTAATCAACATCCACAATCTGTTTAAATTTCCAGGGCACAGTGTCTGATGTTGACCACAAGTGAAAAAAAATCCAGAAGTTGTCCCAGGATACAGTGAAGTTCAAGGCCATCATGTCCACGTAGAACAGTGAAGCCTTTGGCAAGGCTGCAGAGAAATAGACAGACAGGCGAGAAGCATGGAGTAAGTTATTTAGATAGTCCTGACTGACTGCAAGCACAATACAGCATTTATTTGGCTCCACAGGTAAATTAGATGTTCAGAAACAGATAGGGAGCAGACATGTTTTAAAAACATACAGGTTACTGAAATAGCTGAACCTCATTATGACCCCATTAGTTTGTGCTATTGTAGCCAGCAGCAGCTCACTGAATTTAAAATAATTTCTACCAAGGATCTATCAAACCAATGATCAGACAATCGATTCAGATGAAATAAAAATACAAAACTGGTCCCGATTTTGTCGTGATAACATTAAAACTCTTATCATTCATTGTCATTACTTCTCTGAAACTGAATGCTTAGTCCTGATAGTACCACCAATTTGCACTTACACAGTTCCTTCAATTTGATAAAATATTAAACATTGGAACCTGCACATGCATAGTTGAATATGGAAATCCAAAACTCATTCTTAGAGATTCTATGCTTACTTACTAAATCTCTTGAAGTCCCTCATTCTCCAGACAATTAGAAATCAGGGATATAATGTGAACAAACCTGGTTAAGCTTTTAGTCTAGCTGCAAAAGTTGTCCTTAGTTGAAGGATCAAGGGGGCATAACTTTAAGGAGAAAGGCAGGAGGCTTACAGGGGGTTTCAGGACAAGTCTTTTTCACACAGAGGGTAGTGGAAATCTGGAACGCGCCACTTGGGAGGGTAGTTCCTCATGGAAACCTCATAGCCTTTAAAAAGTAGTTGAATGAGCACTTGAAATGTTATAACATTCAAGGCTATGGGCCAAGTGCTGGAAAGACAGACTAGCGTAGAGTTAATGTTTTGTTCAATGGGCCAAAGGGCCTCTTATGTACTGTATGATTCTAAAGGCTCGTGAAAAAGTTACACCTTGCAGCATGAGGTGTACTAATTTTCAATGGTTGCAGTTAGTTCATGATTAGAGATCAGACTTAAAAATGAATGTTTCACCTAAAAATATCAGTGGAGAAATCATAATTTCTTTCAAAAAAGGTGACATCTCAGCTTCTACCTTAATCCCACATACATGCTTCAATCTTTATTTTATGCTTTGCAGATTGATAAAAACGAATTTCTTTTATCTGCCTAGTTTTCAGTCTATCAGAATGTTTCAACATGACTAGCCACTCATTAACTAACTATACCACTTTTGCGAGAACTAACTGTTCCTGTTCACAAATGTTACTTCAGGCCATTCCATTCCTCCCCTCCCCACCACCCCACTACCCCACTACCCCCCCACCCCCAAGTCCTGCATCTTTTTACCTCTTAACAGTTAATCCTGAAGCTGGTCCTGAAAATGATAAGAATGCTCCTCTGTTCGCTGACATTTCAAATCAAGGGTCTAATTTTAAATTGCTGGCAAGTGGAGGAGACCATGTGTCAACTAAAAGAGCAGCTGATTACTTTGTCCACAAACACATGTAGAATTAAACAAAGCACTGGTATCAAAGCACGGTCGTGATTAAATAAGCTGTGCTGTGCAGTGAGTATGGATACTAGTCAAGTCAGCATGACTACTCAAGATATAAGCAACAATGGAAATACCCAGCACCTTCTGTGCTCAGAAATTTGGAAGAAACTAAGGTCTTCAAATAAAATTAACAAAGGAGAAAAACAAAGTCTTTTTCAAAATTAGCAACACCAGATTTGTCTACAACAAAACCTGGAATGTTGCATATTTGCAAGTCCAAACAATTTAGACTTCTGCAGGGACTTTCATTGTTTTACTTGTCAACTCCATTTGGATATGTTTTGCAAATGAAAAGGAAATGCTTTCCGTAGGCAAAATATAGTTAAATCTTCTCAAAATTGAGGAACACACAATGCAGCGATATGCCTCAATACTCACTAACAGCTGCCTTTCTTGTTCACAAAAAGGGTTGTACCCTGGATTAATTTGTTCAGATCTTTTGCAAGCTTCTTTGAAGTCAGCTTCACTGACTGAGGTGCTCTGAAAACAAAAATCAAAACAAAAAATTGAGCAAACCATACACAAGAAAATGTCAGAAAATTGCATGGCTACACTGCTCACAAAGGCTGTATTAAGAGTTTGAGAGAATTGCCATACATGGCAGCTACAGGTTTTCCAAATGAGCTCATGAAGCCACAATATTCGTGTTTTATATTTATGTAATTTTGTGCATTTTCATACTTGCATATTAACTTCAGAAAGAAACACCTTCTGCAATGAAATCACCAATCACCTTTGCACACTAACTGTATGAATTTAGGCAGGAATTTCACCACACATTTACTTATGTGGCTGCCTACATAATCAAGATGACAACAACTATTATAAACCTGCATCTAAGGAACAGACACATTATTTTATTAGCACTCAATCTTACTTTCAACCTCATGAAAAGTCATTGATTAAATGGCTGAAGATGTTTGCGCCTAGGACATTACCCTGAGACAGTCCTGGAGCGATGTGTTGCGAATATGATGACTCACCTCCAACCATCACAACCATCTTCCTTTTTTTTAACCAGAATTATATCTTATGTTTTGAGATATATGAAAATCTAATGAACACCACTTTTGGTCTAATTTGTTGAATTTACTTTAGCAAGTTGAGAGGAAATTATTGCGGTCCTGACACAAATTTTTAAATTGTCTCTGCCCGCAGGGGAAGTTCCAGAGGGCAGGTAATGTAATTCGACTTTACAAGAAGGGTTGTAGAGATAGGCCAGTGAATCTAAAACAGTGGGTACGGAAACTACTGGAGAAAATAGTAAAAGGAAATAATTTTTATCCTTCAAAGAGGCAATGTTTGAACAGGGATAGTTGGCATGGCTTTGTCAGGTGTATGTCATGCCTAACAAATTCTATGTAATTTTTCAAGGACGTGCCCAAGTGCGTGAATGAGGGTAGAGTGTTTGATGAAGTTTATATGAATTTCAGCAAGGCCTTTGGCAATGTACCACATGGGAGACTGATAAAGAAGGTAAAAGGTCATGGAACTTACATCCAAAATTGTCTTGGTGACCGGAGACAGAGGATGATGCCAGAAGGCTGTTTGTGTGACCTGAGCCTGGTGTGCGTTGGCATACAACAGAAATAAGTGCTGGGTTCCTTACTGTTTGCGATTTTCATAAATGGCGTAGATGAGTATGATAAATAAGTTTGCAGACGACACAAATATTGGCTGGGTGGTTGACAGTGAGGAGGAAGGTGTTAGGTTACAGGACAATATAAAGAGATTGGTCAGACGGACAGATCAGTGGCAAATGGAATTTAACTCTGATAAATGAGCTGATGGAAGAAGGAACAAGACAAGGGAGTATTCAATGACTGACAAGACACTAAGAAGCTAAGCAGGACAGGGTATATAAGGTAGGGTATAAGGCGACATGCAGGACACTGCCTTTACCGGTTGTGCCATAGATTATAATAGCAAGGAGATCATCTTGGAGTTGTACAGAACTTTGGTTAGGCCACAACTGGAGTACTGAGTGCAGTTCTGGTCACGCTACAGGAAGGTTGTGACTGCACTGGAGTGGATGCAGAGAAGGTTCACCAGGATGTTGCCTGGGATGGAACAGTTTAGCAACGAAGGGAGGCTGGATAAGCTCAGGTTGTTTACTTTGGAGCAGAGAAGGTTGAGGTGGAGCTGGTAGAGGTCTGTAAGATTTTGAAGGCCAAGAACAGGTTGGATAGAAAGCAGCTGTTCGCCTTAGTCGAAGAGTTAATAACAAAGAGGCATAATTTTAAAGTGAAAGGCAGGAGGTTTAGAGGGTATTTGAGAAAAAGCTTTTTTGTTCAGAGGGTGATGGTAGTCTGGAATGTATTACTGGAGGGTAGTTGGGGCAGGAAACCTCAACTTTTGCAAAGTACTTGGATGAGCACTTGAAATATCATAACATTCAAGGCTATGGGCCTAGTGTGGGAAAGTGGTATATTTTGGGTTGAAGGATCTCTTCTGCACTCTAAGATTCTATGATAAATTAATTTTGCAATTAAATAGTTGTTTGTTAGTACAGAACATCAGTCCTGCTGAAGGAAAAGGCATTTTAAGAAATACCAAAGTAAGGAAAAAAAACCAATATAGTTATATGACTTACTTTTTAGAGCTGTAAAAATGTTTGCCCAAATGGGAAGGTAAAAGTCGTCTTATTCGGTCATCAGCCAAGAACAGATCGAAACTGCTCAACAAACGACGTTTTGCTTCATATGGTTTGTATTCAGTCTTCAGTGTCTTATAGGGAATGACCTAACAAAGGAAATAAAACCATTGTATTTTGTACTATTGTACTATTCTACCAATGGGAGGTGTGACTTTAGTAATGTACAAATTCATCAACTCCTTAGTAAGTGAGCTTCGTTGGTGGAATGCCTTTTATTTCACCCTATTTCTTCGACAACATGTGCCGTTGTATTTGAACAAATCAACTTCAAGAACCATTACTGTGAAAGATTGAAATAGAAGCACATCACTTAGAAATTGAAATTTTGAATGGGTTTTAAAATTACACACAGGTCGAAAGTCAAATAAAAAAGAACTGATCAAATTCAAAATCATTTTGAAATTACAGTGAAAGTGAAGAGATAGTCAGTGTGGATTCAAAAAACAACTTGCAGGTCTATTGAGTGAGAAAGAGAGCGCAAGAGAGGGAGAGAATGTGTGGGTGAGTGGGGGGACCCGTATTTACCATCTTAAGTTAAAAACCATACTAAAATGGGGATCAAAATGCTTCTCAGCTTATCGGTTGCGAAGCATAGTCAGAATTGGAATCTTTCCCATTTTCGGACAAGGAGCTCAGTAATCTCAGTAATACGCACAAAGGGCAATTAAGTAGACAATTGTTTAGATCTTCCCTGTCCATGCTCTGGTAATCACAAAGCTAATGAAGAACGCAGCTAATGCTCTGCCACAAATTCCGATCAGCTATTACTACTACACAGAATTGGGTTACAAAATATCAACAATGGACAACGTAAAGATAAAATGCACAGGTACAGTTTTAAAAGTAAGTTTATAACTTGCCTGAACTAGAAGCCTACCTGTGTTATATTCTTAATGCCATGCTTGCTGAGAAGCTTTTTATAGAATCTCTCTGTTTGATCTGCAGTCATATTTGGTTCATCTTTGGTGAAGAGACAAACTTCCATCGACTCTGATCGAATTCCATGAGGCAGATTTCTGCAAAAATAAAATCTTTTCGCCATCAGAGTTCAAAATTAGCTACATTAACCAACATAGATTTCCTGTTATTATTATTATTAAAATTCCAAATAATGCAGTGTAGAGTGGCATGACAGTATACTTATCAAAATGTAAATGAATTGCTGGCACCTGCTGGTCAAACAATTCTCCATCCATGCTTCAGAGATAGTAGGAACTGCAGATGCTGGAGAATCTGAGATAACAAGGTGTAGAGCTGGATGAACACAGCAGGCCAAGCAGCATCAGAGGAGCAGGAAAGCTGACGTTTCGGGCCTAGACCCTTCTTCAGAAATTTTCTGAAGAAGGGTCTAGGCCCGAATTTTCTGAAGAAGGGTCTAGGCCCGAAACGTCAGCTTTCCTGCTCCTCTGATGCTGCTTGGCCTGCTGTGTTCATCCAGCTCTACACCTTGTTATCTCCATCCATGCTGCTACATTTCCTCTTGTACAATATGCCTGAAATGTGGCAAAATGCTTCCTGAGGCATTACTAAAAATCTGTATACAGCATATTTTCTTGCTTTACTTACATTTATTAAATTTGTCAAACACAATTTAGTTTAGAAAGTCTGTTCTGGATGTTCCTGATGAACGTAAGCATTTCTCAATGCTCAATTCTATCTCAAATTATGGACATTGAAGAGCAGAAAAAAGTAATTTATCTCGAGACCCCCGAACACATTCCCAACAAGTGCAATTTGTGATCAGAGGTTTTAAGTAGGTTCCCATTCATGAGATAGCTTGCATGTCTCAAGTTGATTGAAAAAATTGTGACTAGAGGCTCTAGTATCTCCTCTTTACCTTTCTTTAACAGGGTGAAATCCAGCATGTCTTAGTAACTGACCTACTGCAAATTTTACTAAATTGTAATTTCAGACTTCCCATGCAGCTTTCCTCCTCTCCAGATGAATAAAACCGAGATCATTTGGACCACCCCAATCACTGCACACTCAAACAGTTCTTAGTTCAATCAAAGAATCAGAACTATTACCAATTTAGAGCAGAGAGTGGGAATACAAGAATCACTTAAGATGGAGTAAAAGCAAATAAAATGTCCATCCAGATAGCCTAAATCAAACCAACTTCAGATTTTGTCATCATGCATGAGACCTCAAATTTAAAATGTAAACAAATTCTTTGCTAGGTTAATAAAAGAATTGCAGGTGCTGGAAATCTGAAACAAAAACAGAAACTGCTGAAGAAACTCAACAGTTCTGGTGGCGTTTGTGGAGAGAGTGAGCTTTCTGAAGGCTCTGAAGAAGGATCACTGGACTTGAAACATTAACTCTGATTTCTCTCCACAGACGCTGCCTGACCTGCTCACTTTGTCCAGCAACTTGTTTGTGCTACATTTCCTCCCCCATCCACCCCAAGGGCTCTTCATACATATTATTTGTTCTTCAAGGTGAAGACGACAATCTTCATCATCTGCAGTGTGTGGTAGGGTTCCAGTGATGGCTAAGGCCAATTGGCCACTGCAAGGTTCTGCTTCAAGTAGTAATATAATACTACAAGCAACCAAGTTTTGGATGAGCTGTTACTTTGGGATTTCCTCCGCTCGTATATACTGTTCATTAAGGTTACAGGAGGAAAGGGGTAAAAGAGCAAAATTTCACCAGTTTGAAATAAAGCATCAACTGTTCCAACATTATTACAAAAGCTTGCACTAGGTCATGGAAACAACAAGTAATTTGGTGCATCTTTTATGTTCTGTTTTATTTCTATTGGCTTACATTTTGATTGTTTGCTCCTGATTTGGAATCTTCCATACTGTAACATTCAGCATTATGTTCTCATTTTCATTCAGGAATAGCTCTGCATCTTTCCTGCTTTTCTTCACGTATGCCTGCAGGGCCTTCACAGCCTTAGCCACCTGATGAAGCAAGGCAGGAGGGAACATCAACACAAACATAGGTAACGTTTTGAGATAAATACACCAGTAAATTTTCCATTAAAGGAACATTCTAGAACTGCTGATTTTAATGCAGTTTGCTCCAGCTGTCTGAAAACTGCAAATTTGCTCTTTGGCATTGCAAATTCAAAAGACAGATAAACAAAAGCTGGAGCATTTACTTTCTAATAATGCATTGTGATCACTTCCATTCTTAGCAAAATTACTTCATTGTATTATTCTTAGAATTTTCTTTCATCTGCTCCTGAGGATCCTAATGTTTCCCAGATACAAATAGGTCATTAGTTGAGGTTTCATGTGATTACAGACAGCATTATAAGTGATTCACATTCTGCCCTCAACTGAGATGCATTATGTTTAATTTTATAATAAGTGTAATATTTCTGGCGCACAGCTTTCATTGATTCCTTTATGGAGGCTACACATTTGAAGCATTAGCTTGCCATCTCTCTTTACAGGTGTTGACTGATCTGTGCATTTCCTTTTATTTTAGATTTTCACTGTGTACCACTTTTATTCTAAAAGGAATTCAGGAGGCAGTGTTGACGGCCTAGTAATCTGAACCCAGGTGATTGCACTGGGGACATCAGTTCAACTCCCACCAATTAATAAAAGTGAAATTAAAAGCTAGTTTAATGTTGACTGTAGAATCATTACTGTTGTAAAAATCCATTTGGTTCACTAACGCCGTTCAGAGAAGGAAATCTGCAGTCAATATCCCCATGGTACTCTCAGGTCACGCATGTCATTTGGCGTGTTCACGTAGTGATATCCTGTTCTGAAAGCTGCTGCAGTGCACAGACCTCATAGGTCTGCACAGCGAAACTTTTTTTTAAAACCAGGGAACAGTGTTGTATAAGCACAGATACCAAAAGCTTCTATAAGTATATGAACAAGGAAGAGAATAGTGAAAGTAAATGTTGGTTTTTTTAGAGGATGAATAAAGCGAGGTAATTATGGGAAACTCAGAAACAGCACTAAACCAATACGTTGTCTTTGTTTTCACAGTGGAAGATAATAACTTCTTCCCAAAAACAGCCTCAATTGAATCACTCACCACCAAACCCTCAGGCAGCACATTCCAAATCCAGGTCCTAACCGCTTGCTGCACAAGTTTTCTCCCTTCTGTGTCACCATTGCTTCTTTTGCCAATCACTTTAACTTGATGTTCTCAAGTTCTCAGCCTTCAGCTGTTCCTTGATGTCATGTGGAGTGAACTGAATTAGCTGAAGACTGGCATCTGTGATGCTGGGGACATCTTGCTGAGGCAAAGACAGGTCAACCACTCAACACTTCTGGCTGAACATTGTTCTAGCTGCCCTAGCCTTTTGCACTGATGTGTTGGGCTCCTCAATTATTGAAGATGGGAGATATTTGTGGAGTTGCCTCCTCCAGCAAGTTGTTTCACTGTCGCGGCACCATTTATGACTAAACAAAGCAGGAGCCCTTGCTAACTTTTAACTCATTTTTATTCTTTTATCAGTTTTTCTTTGGAGCATGAACTGGGAACTGTGAGCTGAAGATGACTTTTAGACTGTGGGTAACAGCTCATGTTAAAAGCAAAACAGATCAAACAAGCTTATGCTTATTCATGAGGCCAGGTCTGAAAGTTAAATGCAGGTTGGTTCCTGACCAAAAAGTCCTGCAGATGCATCATTACAAGGGAAAAGCTTTAGGTGTAAACTGATAGCAGAACTGACTATAAAGAGGTTCCAGCAAATCTGACCTTATGCTCAAGGAGATGTCAGATGTTGAATGGTAACTGGGATCTTGTGGAGGAGATGGTCAGTCTGTCAGGGAATGGTCAGAGTTTGAATTGGTACGGTGTTTTCTGTGAGAAGGAATCTGGTTGTTAATGCTACAGCATGATGAAAATTTGAAAGCTCCCATCTAACCTTCCATGAGCAGCTCTTGGAAGCTCAGAGAATAGAAAACATAAGTTTAAGCATCACTGCCTTTATCTGAGTGAACTGTAAAGGTGACCCTGATCGACATCTTCAGAAAATCAACCTAGAAACCATCAGCTATGCCTGTGGGACAACACATTGTGAAAAGCACTTAAGCAGTCTGGCCAGTCTGTTATTTTCTTTTATTTATCTGTCCATATTTTGTACGAATGAGGCTAAAAGCAAATATTTTTGTGTTTGTAGCATAGACCAATTAGATTACTCTGTTGTCTAATTCAGACAGTACCTTACTTTTTGGTGCTGCTCCTGGCATGCCCTCCTGCACTCTTTATTGACCAAGTTTGATCCTTGGCTTCATGGTAATAGTACGTAGATGTATATGTCAGGCCATAAGTCTATACATTGTGTTAAAATACAATTTTGCTGTTGTTGGTGGTCCACAGGACCTCATGACCGCCAAGCCTCAAGTTCCTAGACCTGTTTGATGTCTCTCCCATTTAACATTATGATAGTGCCACACAACATGACGAAAAGCTTCAACTGGAAGATGGGGCTTCATCTCCACAAGGTCTGAGTGCTGTTCACCCTTACTGATACTTTGAACATAGATGCATCTGCAGCAGGCACGTGATTGAGGATGAGGTCAAGTACATTTTCCCCCTCAAAACAAAAGCAGAATGTGCTGGAGAAACTCAGAAGGTCTGGCAGCACCAATGGGAAGAAAACAGAGTTAACATTTTGACTCCAATGACTCTTTATTAGTTCTTCAGAACTGTTCTGGAAAAGGGGTATTGGACTCAAAGTTGACTCTGCTTTCTCTCCACAGATGCTGTCAGACTGCTGAGTTTTTCCAGCAATTTCTGTTTTTGTTTCACATTTCCAGAATCCACAGTTCTTGGTTTTATTTTCCTTGTTGTTTGTTCTGTCACTCTCTGCCATCACCCAGGGTTTGTGTGCATCCTGGTCACTGTCAGTGCTTCCTCCCTGGGGTGTTCAATGTGAGGGTTGAAGGGGGGAAAAAAAGGGTATTGCTTGGCCACTTCAGACAGCAGTTAAGAAGAACCACATTGCTGTAGGTTTGGAATCAAATGTAGGATAGGATGGCAGATTTCCTTCCTAAGGGACATTAGCAAACAAAATATGTTTTTATGATAATCATTAGACTTTAAATTCCAGATTATTTTCCCAAATTTAAATTCCATAATTTGCTGTATTGTGATTCAGACCCAGGCTCCCAGCCTCGGTCTCTGGAATAACAGTCCAGCAAGAATAAATGGAGTATTCCTGGATCATTGAAGGCTGAGGGGTGACCTTATAGAGGTTTATAAAGTCATGAGGGACATAGATAGGGTAAATAGCCAAGGTCTTTTCCCTGGGGTGGAGGGGTCAAAAAACTAGAGGACATAGACTTAAGGTGAGAGAGGAAAGATTAAAAGGGACATAACAGACAACTTTTTTAGAGGATGGTGCACGTACAGAATGTGTTGCCAGAGGAAGTGGTGGAGGCTGGTACAATTGCAACATTTAAAAGGCATCTGGATGGATACATGAATAGAAGGGTTTAGAGGGATATGGGCCAAATAGGACTAGATTAAATTTAGGATACCTGCTCGGCACGGACGAGTTGGGCCGAAGGGTCTGTTTCCGCGCTGTACATCTCTCTGACTCTAACTCTCCGCCATCGACAAACCCTTTTGTGATGTTTTCCCACAGAATGACAGCGGTGTGACGGGGGAGGCCATTCAGTCCATCGGGTCTGTACTATCCATCCCGCTTGCCTCTCTTCCCGGACCCCTGCACTCTCTCCCTTAAGCGCGGTGCCCCCCAGAGCAGGACACACACAGTAGTTGAGGCAGAACCGGCATTTTGTAAAGTTTCATCCCGGTATTCTGCCTCTCAGGTTTTCTCAAGCTGCCCTACCACCACCTCATGACCCGTTGCCGTGGCCGTCTCCAATGCGGTGATTACGGAGATCTCTCGGAAGGTTGGCCCGCCAAGGGCTGACGGACCACGCGTGTCCCCTGCGCCCACACAGCATAGGCCCCGAGCCCGCGGCTAAGTACCCATTCCCCCACCCTCGGGCCCAGGCTGACGGCTCACTAGCTCCCGGGACACTCCAGCTCTCACAGCGAGAGTGTTGAGGGAGGATCCGACGGCTCCCACTCCCCTGCCTCCCGGATCCAAACCCCGGTCTTTACCTGCTCGCTGTCCAGCGCCGCCATCTTCCCCACGCTCGGAGAGCCGCTCCCGGCTGCGCAGCCGCACAAACTTCAACAACAAAACTTTATCAACAGCCACCGTGAGGGACAGCGTGAGCTCGCGGGCGGCACCAGCTGGGCACAGGCCGCTCTGCAGCTGGAGGGAGACTTCACAGCTGGGTAGAGATCCCCACTGCTGGAGAGAGACTCACATCTGCAGTCCATCACAGCTAGAGAGAGACTTTCACAACTGGAGACTCTCACAGCTGTAGAGACCCTCAGTTGCAAAGACAGAGACTCTCACAACTGAATAGAGACCTCCCAAAGCTGGAGAGAGACTCACAGCTGGAGACAGGTAGCTTTGCAGCTGGAGAGGGAGACCCTCACAGCTGGTGACTGACCCTTACAGCTGGAGAGAAAACCTCTACAGCGGTAGACAGAGTACTGCAGCTGGAGATCCCCACAGTGGAGACAGACCCACACTGCTGTGGAGAATCTCACAACTGGACTTAGACCATCACAGCTGTGAGAGTCCCTCCAATGCTGGAGACCTTCACAGCTGGAGGGGGAGACCCCAAAGCTGTAGAGAGAGCCTCATAGCTGTAGACAGACCTTCACAGCTTGGGACAGACCCTCACAGTTGGAGAGAGAGCCTCACGGTTAGACAGACCTTCACAGCAAGAGCAAGATCACCGCAGCTGGAGAGAATCTCCACAGCTATGATTTGATTTGATTTATTTAGTGTTGTATGGTGTCACCATTCTCCGGCGCCATCTTAAAACACAGAAAAATAAACAAAAACCTATCATTCTAAGGCAGAAAAATAAGGGGAAAAAAAGGAAGTTCAACTTTGCATTCCCTCTTGCTAAGTATTCAGCCAAGAGCTTAGAGTGGCCAGCCACAAGTCCCCTTGCCGCACCTCCACCAGAACAACAGTCATCACTCTCTCGCATCATCATGCCTCCACTGATGCTGCCACCATTATGAGTCTGCACTAGTCCTCGCCTATGCAGCCACGGCTGATTTGACTGGATCCCGCACCAGCAAACTCAACTCTACCGCTGTGAGTGAGTGCTGGAGAAACTCAGCAACATTTGTATAGAGAGAAACAGAGTTGATGTTGAGTATAACATGACTCTTCTTTGCAACATCCTCTTTTATTTTGCTTTTATTTCACCAGTATGGTTACCAGGATGAGGAACTTTAGCAGCATCGACAAATTGAAGGAAGTGGGAATATAAACAGATACTCAGCAGGCCTTGCAGCGTCGATGGACTGAGAAACAAAGTCAATGCTTCAATCCCATATAACATTGTTACTAAGCGGGGGAGGCAAGTAAAGCGATGGGTCCTATTCTGCAGAAGCAGCTGGAGAGGAGCAAGGGATCAAATGTAAAAGGTGGCAGAAAAGCAAAAAGCAAAGCGAGTGCAAATGGTCGTAGAGAAGATTATAGAGGAATGGTAGGTGTTAAAAGCTGAAAGTAGCTCAGCTCCAACATAGCAAACTGATGGAAAAAAAACACTGGGAGGATGGAATGAGGACAGAGTTCATGTTCTGAATTTGTCGAGCTCAGTGCTGCCTGAAGGCAGCAATATGGCCAATTGGAAAATGCCATTCCTCCAGCTTGCATTGGGTTTTTCTGGGGCACTGCAGTAGGCCTGGGACAGAAATCCTATTTCAGATCTTCAGTATCAGCATTACTGAAATACAAACAAAGTACTGTTGAAACTCAACAGGTCCTGAAGCATCTTTAGTTCTGCAGAAATGACATATTGGACTCAAATCATAGTATCTGTTTCTCCCTCCACAGATGCCACACAAGGCAAAAAGCTTTCACATGATTATTGCTCAAACAAGAGACAGGACTTGTATAATCATAGCAAGTCTGGGGAAATAAAATCAACCAGTGTTGAACATGTCGGTATTCTGTCAAGTTATGCCTTCATATAGTGTTAATGGGGGTAGTCCTTACAGATAAGCACACATTCAGCAGTTGGGAGAGATGGAGAGGTGGAGAGGTATTGCTGGAGTGATGAGCATCAGAAATGACACCAATCCATCAAATCAACTCCACAAGATGTACCTGGCTCTAGATATTTATTGTGTGCATTAATGCACTTAAAAATGGCACCCAACATAAGTGAATGTCAGCTATAGATACCATTTTGGAGCTGTAAGGGCACTTTATGTTCAAATGTTTGTAACATCAGTGCGTTTAAATTGTGATGATACTATGGCTTTCAGAGATGTATTTCGTCTAGGTTTTTTGAAGAGAGGTTTTGAGCGAAAGGTGTTGAGCCGTCTCCTCCAAGTCAATAAAGTAAACAGCTTGTGAGGCCTTGGGTTTTATTTTATAAAATTCAAACAATAGAAGCAGCTTGAATGGGTGGAGTCAGGCTTCCACAGAACCAAGGTTTTAGTTTGGTTTTCAACAGTTGTTGGGGATTTGGAAGTTGACTGTGGAAGGTGTTACATCTCTCTGTTACAGCTAGAAGTTTGGGTTCCCTTTCTGCTGCCAGAATCACACGTGAGACAATTGTTTTACTGACTTTGCCTTTGCCAAGTGTGCATTTATGGGATGTTACAACATTGGAACAGTTGCTGTTTAGTAATTAAATAATCTATTATTCTATTAAGTTTTCCAATAAAGTTGTACCAATTCTTCTTTCTTTTGTTTGTATTTTAACTGGAGGCGAGAATAAATTGTGTTTTGCTCAAAGCCAAGTAGTGTGATCAATTAAATGACACCTGGGACACAGACCTTACACTTGCCTCTAAAGAACATAAAAGTTAGAGTCTAGGCTATTTCCTTGATATAATTGAGTGGGGTTTAGTCTTGTCCATAATGAAATATACGTTCCATATTCTGCATGGACAACCCATGTTCCCTTTGCATGGTTTTACACAATAAAACTGCTGGGCCTTGCTAAGGTTTGCCCTGAAAGCTTCTATGAATTTCTATATCTGACAACTAACAGCATAACTCTGTGCATCATAACTCACTGGAGGAAGAATGTGTTCTGCAGAATACAAAATACATCAGATGACTCAAAGCCAAGCTGCTGAGCCATCTACATAGATCCAATTAGTTTATAAAAATAAAAAAAACAAAAATAGAATTCTCTCCCTAAAGCACTGTGGGTTTACTGATACCACATGGGCTATATGGTTTCAAGAAAGTGGCTCAACAGCATCTGAAAGGGTAATTAATGATGGACAATAAATATTGGCCTAGACAGTGATTCTCACATTCTGTAAACAAGTAAAGCATGTTTAGGAGTAATGGGGGTGATTAGGTACCAGAAAAAAGTGCATTGATTCAGGGACATAGCTGAGGTATTAAGTACTTTGCATTAGTCTTTACTAAAGGAGATGTTACCCATGTCATGATGAAAAAAAATTGCAGTTCAGAATTTTGAAGTATTTAAAATTGATTAAGAAGTATTGGATAGGTTGCAGGTACATAAAATTGATAAAGCATCAGGATAACCCTGTGCTTCAAGTGAGACTTCCTCTAGGCACATCTCATCCGGTGCACCCACTCAAATATATCAAGAAAATAGCCTAGACTCTAACTTCTTTGCTATTTCGAGGCAAGTGTAAAGTGCTGTGTTCCAGAGGTCATTTAATTGATCACACCACTTGGCTTTGAGCAAAACGCAATTTATTCTTACCTCCAGTTAAAATACAAACAAAAGAAAGAAGATTTGGTACAACTTTAACTCTATTGGAAAGCTTAATAGAATAAGAGATTATTTAATTACTAAACAGCAACTGTTCCAATATTGTAACATCCCATGCACCAGGTGAGATGTACCTGGAGGAAGTGAGAGTGGAGATTGGAGGGGCACAATTTTATTAATTTTTCTTAGATCCATGGTTGCTGCCAGAGAATGGCTAATTGCAAATGTGACATCCTCAACAAAAAAAGGGTGTAAAGGTGAGCCCAGTAGCTACATACCAGTCAGTTTAATCTCAATAGTGAGGAAGTTTTAGAAACATAAGAACATAAGAAATAGAAGCAGGAGTAGACCATCAAGCCTGATCCGCCATTCAATAAGACCATGGCTGATCTTAAAGAAACAAAATTCAGGACAAAATAATAGTGATGTGGGCAAATGCAGGTGAATGAAGGAAAGCCATTAACAAGAATTAAGTTTTTAAAAGGGAAAATCATGTTCAAAAAACCTCAACATTTTCTTTGATGAAGTAAAAGAGCAAAGTTAGACCTCATTAAATAAATGTACAGTAGTAACATGGATGTGAAATTGGTTAAAGACAGGAAAGCGAGATCAATGAAAGATTGTTTTTTTTTCTGGACTGGTAGAAGGTTTATAATGGAGTTCCCCAGGGATTGGTGTCAGTACCCCTGCGTTTCCTCTTACATACATGTGCAGGGATCAACTTCAAAATATGAGGATGGCACAAAACTTAGAAGTGTGGTGAGCCATGAGGAGAAAGGTATAGAATTTCCAACGGACAGAGACAGGTTGGTAGAATGAGTGGACAAGTGGCAGATGAAAATTAATGCACAAAAGTATGAAGAGATCCATCTTGGTGGGAACAATACAGATTCATCAGGGTACAAATTCTGAAAGGTTTGCATGAGCAAAAGGATATCTCTATAGGAAAGTGTGATAAACTGAAATTTATACATATATTTTTAATATCATTTAAGACCATAAGAAATAGGAACAGGATTGGCTGTTTGGCTCCTTGAGCCTGCTCTGCTGTTCAACAGGATCATGGATAATCCAACATCCCTCACGTTTACTTTCCTGCACTTTCACCACAGCTCTTGATTTCCCCTCTGATCAAGAATCCATTTCAGCTTTAGATATGTACAAGAACTCTGCCCCACAGCTCTCTGAGGCAAAGAGTTGCAAAGACACTCAACCCTTTGCGAGAAGAAATTCCTTTACATCTCAGTCTTAAATTGATGCCCCCTATTCTGAGACAATGCCCTCTGGTCCTAGACTCTCCCATGGCGGGGAAACATCCTCTCAGCATTTACCTTCTCAAGCCCCTTAAGAAGCCTATGTGTTTCAGAGATCATCTCCCATTCTTCCAAACTCCAGGGGGTTGAGTCCCGACCTGTTTAGCCTTTTCTCATAAGACCATCCTTCCACACC